TTCAAGTGAAGTGTAGAAACTTTACCTTCCTTTATTTCCTTCACCCTCCTCTGTTTGTAATTTCCTGGAATATTTCCTCTACACAGATTTAGAACTGCCTCAGATAATGTCATAATTTTTCTTCAAACAGTTTCGAAAATTCAAGAAGAGAAAGAAATCTCATTGTATTATTTATCCATATATTTGCTTGCCGTGTTCTTTCTTCCTTTCGAATGCTCCAAGGTTTCTTCTTTTATTGTTTCTATTTTATCTAGAGAACTTTCTTTAGCCATTATTTTAGGATAGGTCTGGTGATGACGAATTCTCTTCATTTTCCTTCATCTAGAATGTCCCTGATTTCCCTTCCATTGCTGAAGAATATTTTCACTGGTATAGGATTTGGGGTTGACAGTTCTTTTCTTTCAGCCCTTAAAAAATGTAGTGCCGCTTCCTTCTGTCCCCCATGGTTTTCGATGAGACATCCACTCTCATTTGAATTGTTTTTCCTCTGTAGGCAAGATACCATTTTTCTCTGGCTGCTTTTAAGATTTTTTTCTCTGTCTTTAGTTTTCAGAAGTTTAATTATACTGTGTCTACGCATGGATTTTTTTTGGGTTTATCCTGCGTGGGGTTCTCTCTGCTTCTTAAATCTGTAGATTTTTGTCTTTTACCAAATTTCAGAATTTTTCAGCCAGTATTTCTTTAATTTTTCAGCCTTACTCTCTTTCTCCTCTCCTTTCAATAATATGATTGTTAGAACTTTTGTATAGTCCCACAGGTTCCTGAGACTCTGTTCATTTTTTTTTTTAGTGTGTTTTCCCTCTGTTATTGGAAGCAGAAGCCCTACTGCCTCGATTTTTAAAATTTAACCTGCATGTTAAAAGTATACAGAGTACACTACAGAATGTGTGGTGTGAATAGAAAGTATATAGGACTGTTTTGTTGTTTCATAAAATTACTGACACTGACTCATTTAAATGAACGCTGCTGGTTCCTTGAAATCAGTGACTGAGTTATCCTTTGTAGATGATTCTGTATTGTTGACACTGCTCCCAATTGTTTTTTGAACTCTGTTGGACTTTATTTTAGAGAATGAATTGTATCCATTTGAATATTCTCAGTGGCATAAATTGTCATCCTTTGAGGCTGTGTTTCATTTTTGGAAGCAACCCCAAGTTGTTCAAGAGCCAAGATGAATAGTAAAACAGGTGACCAAATTGGGTAATACACTTTTCAGTCTAACATTCTTTTCTAAGAGGATATTGTGAACCAAAGCATTGTGGTAGTGACACAGTCATTTCTTTTATGTTATACAAAACCTCCTAAGCACTTCAAATTTCTATATAATAAGCCTGATTAGCTGTGGGATGAATTTGCGTGAATAGTAACAATCAACATTTCTTTTCTGTGCTGTTGACATAAATCTTTCCTTGGGTCCCGTGGATGTGGAGTTTTTCCTTGTAAACTTTGGCAGTATATTTTTGGGTCAACCTGAAAACACTGTGTTCCATCACTATTCTCCTCAAATACATGTTATTTTGTCCAACCTTCCCTTGAAAGTTCAGAACAAATGTCAAATCTTCTCTATTTCTTTTTATCATTCAAAATGTGTAACACAGGCTTTACAGAAACCTTATTGTTCAAATTCCCCTTCAGTATTAGTCACTGTTTTCATAGCTAACCATCTGCTTGAACAAATCTCATCTCTTGACAGTTTCTGCATTTTCATCAGTCCTTTGTACTTCATCATGAGCATCCTTATTACCTTTCTTAAGCCTTTGTGTGAGTCAAAAACTTCTTCTTTACAGTCCCTCCACATCACAATTGCCTTTTTAGATGTCTTGTGTCATTTATGTTTGCTTGACTTCACACAAAATTTAGTGTTAATTCTATGCTTTCTACAGCTATCATTCCCCATCCCCATCCACTGCAGCCTGTAGCCCTAACAGAGAGTGAAAGAACTGTTACTGATTCAAACAATCATTTTACAGCGTGCTCCTTCCATGCCCACTTTGTATTGCCAAGCCATCCGAGAACATGAATTTCATGACTCTGTAATCGTAGATAGACTACTAAATACACAGAGCATCATCCTATTTGCTTAACTTTAAAGTTCTAGGTCACATACATAGGCTCTAAAATAGATAATAGACCTAATTCAATAAGTAGGAATGACCCTTTGGCAAATTAAAGAGCTGCTAAAGAAATTTAATATATCCTACCTCAACAACCTGATCCTTTTGTTCCTTTTCAGCTCACAGTTCAACTATTAGGTGGAGAGAGCCAATCTAGGGGGAAGAGGGTTGCAACCTAATTTTGTGTTTAAGAGCATGATTGTCAGACAGCCTTGGTCTTGAACCAAGTCAGAACCTGGTCCTGCCAGTTTACCAGTTGTGCAAATTACCTTGGAAAGTTATTCAACCTCTCTAAGCCTTAGTCTCCTCTTCAGTAAAATCAGATAATAATAATTCTCTCGTAATGCTGTTGTACGAATTAAAGGAGGTAATATGTGTAAGGTAAGTTTTAGCACATTGTTTGGCACCCACTGTTTGGATGGTAGCCATTATTAAATGCCAGTTACTGTGCCAGTCATTAAAGATGGTAAGTAGGAGATAGTGCTTGCCCTCAAGGAGTTCCAAATCAAAGCATAATCAAAGCTCAAAATGCCCCGTCGGAAGGAAAAATAAACCAGAAAAATAAGTTTAAAGGCTAGTGCAGCTCTATAACATATAGCATTAGCTTTTTACCCTTGGACAGACCATTACCAGAATATTCTAATCAATGAAGAGTGTGCAGCAATCATTACTGATTTTCTCATGTGGATTATGCATCTTGAGAGTAAAGCTATGCTCTGGATCCCTCTTAGTTTTTCTGGGTGTAAAAATTTTTTGCTTGTCTATGTGATCACTTTCAATTAAACTACAAGTTCTCCTCTTTCCCACTGGCTCAAGCGCTCACTGAAGACCCATGAATATTATACGAGTGGAGATGAGAAGCAGTTATAAACGTAAAATCAACTGATTATTCAGTAGCCAGGCCAGTCAGCTTAGTCAGCCTATACCCCCAGTTCCTAACTCCAGGAAATTGCTTTCTCTAATTATGTAACTCCACATGCCAGCGAGCTCATTCAGAGTACAGCAGCTCAAAGAGTGATACTGGGTTTAACTAAGGCTTTCCTCTCCTCTCAAACAAGAGAACATGAAATTTCATGGAGGTGGGAGAGAACTGAATTCGAATAAGGAAAAATTTGACCAAAAGAGTGTTTAGTCTTCTAGAATGGCTGAGAAAGTTGTGGCATTACCTTTCATTTAGTTTTCTAAGAAGGTAACAGACACATTAGAGAAATACATACTTGCCCTTTATGAACTTATCTTAGTTGTGTTTATGATGTCATAGTTTTGGGATCCCTGGTTAATTGTGTTGGACAGTATTGGATTGATCATTGTTTTCACATTGTGCTGCTATAGCCTGAAACTCTTTGCATCTTTTCCTCTAATTTCTCATGACCAAAATATCTTTCCTGTTTTTGAGTGTAAAAAGTTGTACATGACAACAAAACAACCAGTTGGATATCTAAAAATATAATTAAATGGTTGTTTACTTTGTCCTATATATTGCCAAATAATAATTTTGAATATTTTCTTCACTGAAATTACTTCTTGTCTGTAATCCAACAATAAGCCTTCCGTCTTCTCCAAATGATTTTCCATGATGACTATTTCCTCATGTCTCTAATGTTGCTCTTCTTTAAAAACTTTAAAATGATTAAAAGTGATCTCTTCCTTGAATATTTGCTTAATAATTTTTTCCTTATTCCTCCAATCTGACTTTTTCATAGTAATCAAAAATCTTGATTAGTGAGGAAAATTCACAAACTTTCCTAGCTGATGAATTCTAAGGTAAAATTCACTTTTGAATTCCAAATTACCTACCCTTAAGAAACCATCAAGAATGAAAATGAGTGCAGGAAGTCACCCCTCAGATCCTTCCACAGTAAAGGGTGAAATAGAAAGCACAGCACTAAAACACGTGTTTAAAAGTGTTAATGATAAGCATCCACTTCCCATGTTAGACCTCCATGTGAAACCATTCTTAATTTGAACAGGCATGTTCTAGGTGACCAGCTCACAAACAGAACTGTTTGCTTGGTAGAAAAGATAGCAAGCAGAAGGACTCAAGATGCTGATGCTAGAACAAAGGTGAGAAAATCAGAGTGAACAGAGGCGCAGGAGTACGCACCCTGTCACTTAGAGATGGGAGACTGCAGTGCGCGCCCTCTCTCCTCCAACAGCCACCTGTAGGGATGGAGAAATGGTGGTAACTGCTTTAACTGAGGAGCCGATGAATCTCTCCGAAAGCTCCTGAGGAGACGATCTGCACAGAGAGCTCGCTTTGAAGGCCCTCCCATTTCTAGGGCCTCCCCAGTCTACAGATACTCAGGCATTTATCACATCATTCATTTTTAATGGAACTTAAAGATTCCAAAAACCATACTCTTGATTTAATAATGCAGAAAACTAATACATATTGATTATACTCACCTGAATAAACTTACCATGCGCCTGTCGCATAAAGGACAATACGCAATTCAATTCTTTGCTTCAGAATTAGGAACTAGGTTCTATCACTTTCCCCTTGATGTTTCATATATTACATCTCTCTCCCTGCTATTATTTAAAGGAAATGCCAGATGGAACTCCACTTTATTTTTAAGTTGTGACTTCTTTTTGCTTCTTGAGATTTTTCAGACTGAATTTTGTTCCCTTAAAATGGGGGTTAAAATAATCTTTGGCAAGCCACCAGATGACTCTGAATGTATTTAATGCAACCTTGCTCCAGTATTAACATTTTCACAAACTGCAGTAGGCAGACCCTCACTGTGTTTTCATTATCCTTTCCAGCCGTGGCTGAAAGCCCAAATGATGCCACTTTACCCGAGAGGTACTCTGTACGTGTTTTCTACTTTAATCACATCCTTTCTACACCACGAATCTTCGTCTGACAGATTATCTTCTCCACAGGCAGGCAGCCACATCCAGACCTTGATGGGGTCCCAAAGCCTGCAGCATCGGAGCCGGGAACAGCAGCCATACGAGGGAAACATCAACAAAGTGACCATCCAGCAGTTCCAGTCACCATTGCCTATTCAGATCCCCTCGTCCCAGGCCACCCGGGGACCTCAGCCCGGACGGTGCTTAATTCAAACTAAAGGGCAAAGGAGTATGGATGGATATCCAGAGCAGGTGAGGAGAGTTTTTATCATTGAGGGCTTTTCAGGAAATGTTCAGGAAAGCCCACCCAATTCATAGTTTGCCTTCCCTCGTTAATGTAGGCGGGACACATTAACGCTGTCATCATGTTGAATGGAATGGAGCCCTCTTTGCAGGGATTTTATCATTATTTTCAGTGGCCGAGGACTACAACATATAGGAATTGATGCTTGGTAAAGTGTTCATTTTACATAAGGAAAAATGGATGAATCAGAATCATTTTTCTGGTTCATCATACACCTTCTCCCACCCACCCCCAGTTCAGTTCTGCAGCACGGCTCCTGAATATTACAAAGAGCATCAGTGGATGAGGTGTATTTACCAAGGCCTCAGGTGAAACTGACACTGTGAAATGTAAACTGTATATTCCCCTCGATTTGTAGACACATTTTTTTAAAAGTTTGATCTTCTGATTGTTGCATAGTATAGAGATAAAGCCTTGCTATGAAGAAAATGATAAAGAGCAGTTAGAAGGGAAACATTTCCAAAACGCTCCAAAAGCTACTAATATGACTCAATATTAAGCTTAGAAAATAAGACGTTCAGATCTTCATACTCTCATAGAATTAATTTCTCTTATTTTATTCTTCAGATAATTAGGCAAAGCTCCCACTGACTTCACTAACTCCTGACTATGGTTCCTAAAGCTTGCACGTTATCATTGCTTTCTCAAAGCTTCACATATCGCTCCACCATATTTTCAAAACATATCAGACAAGATTATCTTCATTCTCATTTTTTCCTTTATACTGTTAAGAGCCATTTATTATTTGGATCCCAGCTGCTCTAGACAGCTCCCCTATTTCTTAATACTCTTCTTGAAGCTGAGATTATGTATTAATCATTTTCAGAATCTTAGCTTTTGTTAAGATAATTCTCTTCCTATCCTGCCTTGATCTAAGCCAACTGTTGGATTTCAAGTGTCTTTAATCAGATGATAATGTGAGGATTGTAATTCTCCAGGAAGTCTAAAAAGTTAAAGTTTTAAACTATGCTTTACCACCGGCATCTTAGAAGGTTAAAAATTGTTCATACCCCTTCACCCATAAACATCATAACCCAGACCCAGTTCTCTGACTTAGTTATTCCTGTTAGCAGCTACATGATTTTTTTTCTCCCAGAATCAGGGCATTTAAAAATCCAGTGAAATCAATGCCTTCTGTTTCTCCTGCCTTGAATCGTAGGCTTAGGATTAGCATGCAGTTATTCTGAACACTCTGAATGTAAAGATCTTTTTTACATTATTTCTCAAAAAAATACATAAATTGTATAGTTTGACTAATGAGAAGATAACTAAGTTGTACAGTTTGCATGCTTGTTGAATGTAAAACCTCGTGATTCTTCCAGAGAAGGCATTTATAGTCACTTGCAAGTGTTCTGATTCACAGCTCTAACAGCATCAGATGCCTTTCAAATTGAGGGGTAAAAACTTAAACATCCGATGGCTGTGTTAGGAAGGGACTTCAGTATGATTCCTCTTGCTTCCCCAGTTTTTCTGCCTTTGTTTCAGGCTGAGATGGCTTGAAATGCTGAGATAAGCACTTTGGAGCGGCCCGGAGAAAGCCTAAGTAGCCTTTAACTAGCGCTCCTCCCCAAACTGTGCTCTCCCTTCCCCCGAGGTATAAATATGGAGACAGTTTCTCAGTCCTTTTTTGCCAATTCGGTGTAGTATTTGTCCACTCCCAGTGTCGTGCTGGAACCGACTCACGCCGCGCGTTGCTGTGCGCGTCTCTGCCCAGCTCCGCCGTCAGCGCCCTCACGCTGGTAGGCTGAAATTGTGGGGATAATTGCACAGGGAACTCGGCGCTCGCTGCAAACCAGCGCTCGCCCCTGCCCCAGCTCTTCAGCCTCGTCCAGCACACCGCTGACGGCTACTCTGTTTTCTTTCATCTCTCTTTCTGTTTCCATCCGCTCCACTTCTTCATTTAGCAATATAGCATTCGAGAAAGAGAACACTAGGAGTGGGTCTCAGAACTTGGAGTTCAAGTCTTATGTTAACGTTTATTAGCTTTGTGACCCTGGCCAAGTCATTGACTCTTTCTGAGGTTCAGTTTTTCTCATAAAATGAGACCATTAGCCACCCACCCACAACATTCGAAAAGTTTTTGTGAGAGCCAAATGATACAATTCTACATACACGCACGCACGCACGCACACACAAAGTAAGGCTGGCGCTGAGAGTATAGAAATAGAAAAAAAAAAAACAGAAATACAAGATTCTAAGAATTAAAACATTGGAGGAAACTTAATGATTATCAGTCCCAACCTCACTAGTCTATAGATAGAAAAACAAACAAAAACAAAAAACAAGAGAAGAGGCTGAAGAAGGTTATGTAATTTGCTCTCATAATGAAAATATTTCATGTATTTTTTATTTTTCTAAGTTATATTTCTTTTGAAAATTCAGAACAAATGAAGAAAAATATTTATTACATTTCAAAACCTTATAGTTTCACGTGAAAATTATAGAGTAGTGATTGAAGTGCAAAGACCAAGGAGATAACTAAAAATTTCTAAGATGAGTTTCTGGCGTATAAATCAAGGCACTCTGTTTTCATAAGGCATGTCTAGTGGTGCATTAAAAGAGCTGTAGAGAGAAAAACACAGTTTTCTTAAATGATCACAACTACTAATGTTAAATTTGGTAGAGTACAATATGGAAAAAACCTAAATTATTCATAATTTTTAAGTGCAAGGAGACATCATAAACGTGGTACAAAGACTCCACAGAGTGATAAAGCATAAAAATTTCTATTAAAGTAAAAAAAAGTAATCACTTCTTGGAACGCTACAGGTGAAAAAAATATCCAATTACAATGAATACACATTTTTTAATTTAGGGAAAATAAGTCTGAATGAAAATAGGATAAGACGGGACAACAGTTACCCTACATTGCGTGCCTGCTATAATAAATACGTATAGTATATATGTGCGTATATAGTACGTATCTTACACAGGCCTGGCTTCAGGGCTGTGTGACCTGTGCAGTTGCACAAAGTCCTGCACTTAGAACGGCCCCACACTGGGTTTAATGCTCTGCTGTCACCACCTTGTAATTTTAATAATCATTGAACCAGGAGCCTCACATTTTCATTTTGCACCAGGTCCCGCTAATTATATAACTGGTCCTGCTTACACATACTCTTTCATTCACAATAATCTTATTTCCTTTTTATAAATGGAGAAAGCAAGGCACAGAGAAAATAAATAACTTGTGAAAGTTGTAAGTGGTCAAGCTGGAATTTTAACCTAGGTTTGTCTGACCCAAAACCAAAGTTCTGTGTCCCCATCTTACCATGAAATTAACCACATGATCTCAGACACTTGCCTGCTGTGGCCTCAGTGTCCTCTTCTGTCAAATAATATTGATCAGACCTGCTCCAGCTACAGTTCAGAACTATAGAACTGCATTATGCAGATGAACTCACATGAAACTCACATGAAACACTTCCAATGCTTTGAGAAGCAGAACGGACTGAACAAATGGAAAGTTTTATTATTGACAAAAACATACCTCTGTATCTTGTCGTGTGACCTAAAGAACTAATGCGCTTCCAATCTGATTAAAATAAATTCAATATAGTAATGAAGATATATAATAAATGCTACCACTGACGACGGGATGAATTCAATGAAGGTCATTTTGGACCTAGGCAGAGTACTCAACTTTGTTTAGCCATAAAGAAGCACTTAGTAAACTTTCATGTTCCTCCTCAAGGATGAAACCATCTCAACTTTCAAACTACCCATCACAGTAAAACAGGGCAAAATATCCAAGAATTCTAATTTAATACACTTATTTTTGCTTGTTTATTTTTCATAGACATTAAGTTTCAAGTCTGTTTTCATCTCTAGGATCAAATGAAATAAAACATATGGAAGTGATTTTTAAACCATGAAGTGCTACCCAGATTCAAGGTATTAATTTCTATAGACTAGAAATCTGATTTCTAATAATAGAGCTTCTTTTTCAACAAATTATCTACAACACAAAACCATATGCATGTCACTTGGAGTTCATTATCAGGGGATTTTTCTTAGAAAAGGGAGTTTAGTACACAAACCATTATGATTATTGATGAACATTATAGAAAATAAAATGAAAGTCGTATAAAGTCGTGAACTGAAGAAAGCCAGAAAGCGAAGGCTTGATTCTTGTTCCACTTGAAAAACTCCCAGCCATCATATCCATCCTGACAGCTCTTCCCTTTGTTTCCCAGTCCAAGGGTAGAGCCTTAAAGATCCTGTTTCCCTTACCCTCCCCTTCACAATATAATAATGCTTTCTATCAGTTCTCAACCTCAGCTATACATTAGAGTCTGCTCAGGAGCTTTAAAAAGCATTGATGCCTTGACCTCATCCCCAAAGAAACTAATTTTGTTAGTCTGGATGTGACTGGGTAATGGGAATTTTTGAAACTCCTCAGTTGATTCTGTTGAGTAGCCAAGGCTGAGAACCAATACTTTAGATATTCTATAGCTCAATAATTTACCAGCTGAATAATATATTGTTATTATCACTATTTAAAAGTATAAATAAATTGTCCATAACTTGTTGAATATTTTTAGAAGGAAATAACATTAACTTGATTTTTCTCTTTTGCAAATGTATATCCCAAGGCAATGGATATTTATATAGGTGGAACATACAGATATTAAAGCAGAAATAGGAAGGAAAAACATCAGCATGATGCTTCAGAAGTCTCAAATCCTTTCCAATGTTAACTGAATCGAATCAGTAATGCTGTGATATGAGTAGAGCAGTTTCTGTTTTATTGACTAGGAGACTAAGACTCAGAGAAGTTAACTGTCTTGCCTGTGGCCACACAACAATGTGGAAGCTGAGTTGGGATCAGAACCCAGTTTCATGAGTCTACCACGGTACATACTGCAGCCTATTGCTGTGGCCTAGCATAGAGGTCAAGAGTAAACTCACACTGGAAGAGTAGAACAATGCAAAAATAGACCCTCCT